ACTGTCGATGAACTAAGAGAGGCCGAAAATTTGTTAGCCAGGCTGTCTCAATTGGAATCGTTTCCAGTCGAGTACAAGGCCATGGTCGATAATCGCGCGCTTAACAAGAAACATAATTTAAGCAAATTAAATTTGTTTATTGACAATAATAAGCTTCTGCGAGTCGGTGGAAGGTGTCTAACCTTTCTATTCTTCGGAGTTCGACTACAATAAGAAACATCCGATATTACTGTCAGGCAAACATCATTTCACACTTTTACTTTTCCGTTACGAACACCTTACATTGCTACATGCTGCACCGCAGGCGCTTCTATTTCACATTCGTGAAACTTGGTGGACGCTTGCAGGTAGAAATCTTGCTAGGAAAGTATTCACGAATGCGTTGTGTGTAGGCGTCTGCGAGGTAAAACACTCACTCCTCTTATGGGAAATCTTCCCATCGAAAGAATTACACCCACCTTTCCTTTTAATCGTTGTGGCGTTGACTATGCCGGTCCAGTTTACATATTAAACAGGAAGGGTAGGGGCGCCAAGACTTCTAAAGCATACATTTGTATATTTATTTGTTTCGTCACACGCGCAGTTCATTTAGAGCTGGTTACTGACCTCACTACCAAAGCATACTGTCTCACGATAAATAGGTTTATCGCGCGACGAGGGAAACCTTCTGAAATTTGGTCCGATAATCAACGCTCATTTATCGGACTTAAAAATGAATTTACACAATTTCTAGACCGCTGTAGTTCCGAAATTATTGACTATGCTAATCAGCAAAAAATCCAATTTAAATTTATTGTGCCCTACGCTGCTCATTTGGGAGGAATTTGGGAAAGAGGGGTTCGCTCGTGTAAATACCACATTCATCGCGTAGTTCGTAACGCTCATCTTACGTACGAAGAATATAGCACGGTATTGGCACAAATCGAAGCTGTCCTGAACTCTCGTCCTCTAACTCCAATCTCATCCGATCCTAATGACTTTCTTCCCCTTAGTCCTGCTCACTTCCTGGTTGGCCGTATGCTTACAGCGCCTGTCTGCGACAACCTAGAAGATACGCCTACACATAGACTCGACAGATATCAGCGGGTAGAAAAAATTCGTCAAGATTTTTGGAAACGCTGGTCGAAGGAATATATCTCTGAGTTACAGACGCGGACGAAGTGGCGAGAACATACGCAAGACCTGAAGCCCAATACCATGGTCGTAATCAAGGAAGACAACTTCCCTCCTTTACGATGGCATCTCGGTAGAATCGTGAGAAATATACCGGGAAAGGACGGAATATCAAGAGTGGCCGAAATTAAAACAGCAAGCGGACTTGTGAGGCGATCTTACACAAAAATTTGCCCATTAGTAGAACCAGATGTAACTCACATTGGAAGCTAAGGGTTCCAAGGCCGGGGGCATGTTTCGGCTTAAAACTGAACGCATTACGACGCAGTGTACGCTGATTGGTCTATGTTTGTTAGGTCATATTCGCAACAATTGTCAAATTTCATATTCAAACTTACCGCAACTGTAATAGTCGTTATTCAAAATTATATACTTAGAATCTGCGCAAGATCTTTCATTTTTGCAAAATATCAAGCGCTAACAAGTGCCAAATTCAGTAATTTCCCAGTAATTATACACAATATCAGGCATCCCCGTTTCAATATTAAAAGGCTATTTAATGCAGTAATTTTTTGAAATCGATGAGCGCTTTCAATAAAACAGAATGACGGATTCGCAGTGCAGCCAGCCTTACATGCAAAGTAAAGTACCCTTTGTAAATGGCAAACGTTAACGTTTGAGTGAGCCGCGATAAATTCTAAAGCGCTTTCGCGTGCCAAGTGGAAAGCTTCAAGTTTTATATTCCTTTTCAAGTGAGATTTGCTTGCTGGATTAACTTTTTTCACATGTAAAATATTACGTTGCGGACGTCTTTTTGGGGTAACGGTATTAAAAATTGGCCAAATGCGACTCGGAATAGCATACGAAGGGTTCCGTACCATTATCTATAAAAACGGCAAAAAAATCATGTCTGTTGTATGGGAGCCCCAATTAAATATATTTTATTCTGTTTTTAAGTATTTGTTGTTGTTACGGCAACAGAAATACATCATCTGTGAAAATTTGAACTGTCTAACTATCACGGTTCTAGAGATACAGCCTAGTGACAGACGGACGGACAGACAGACAGTGGAGTCTTAGTAATTGGGTCCCGTTTTACCCTTGGGGTATTGAATCCTAAAAAAGATTTTTACTTAAATTTATATTCATATATATGCAGATTTATTTTTATTTACGTATGTATATGGAGTAGTTTCGTTGAAAAGAATTTAGTTTTGTAAGTTATTGGTATTTCTGTAAATAAGGTATAAGAATTAAGGACATTTAATTTAAAATTAAAGTCCAGATCTTGATTTCTGGAAATCAAATCAGAACACGAAGATCTAAGGTGGCATACACGACGGTTTTAGAAGTACTTTTTAAGTATGTTCTAGAGTAGTATGTTCTAGATTGGGATTTGATTTCTTTACAGTACAAGCGTACTTTAAGAAGAAAACCCTCTTTTTTATTTTATTTTTTTTAAGATTGCCCTCACTTTAGGATAACATTATCCTGTGTTGTAAGGACGTTTTACAAACAAAAATTGCACGAGGACAAACACCCAGATGCGAAACAACTATCTGTGGGCCGCACAAATAGTTGTTTCGTGTGGGAAACGAACCCGCGACCCCCAGCGCCGAAGCCAATACCTTGGCAACTGCGCCACGGAGTCATCAAATACTTTATTGGATACTTTACATTTTCTAAGGTTTCTCATTTAAAAGAAGAAAGTAATATCAATACGTCTGTCAGAGCCGTGACAGCTCAGCATGCGCGCGCGGTCGTATTCAATTCAATATCCTCGAGCAACCTGAGTTCTATTCTCATAGCCAGCACTAATGAAATTGTTAGATTTAGATGGAAGAAAACATCGTTAGGAAACCTGCATGTTTTTGAAATAAAAACAAAAAAGATCTGTGAAATCTGCCAGTCCTCATTGGGGTAGCGTGGTGTACTATGCCCTAATACAGACGGTATAAGGGCATAGTCCACCATGTTTTTCAGAGGTACAAAAGATGCTTTTACCCAGCAGTGGGACATATATAGGCTTACAAATAATTCTTCGAATAAGTTTTAAATCTTTTTAAACTTTTCCCTCCAATCATACCCAACTTTAAGCTTTAAAATGGTCATAGATCATAGACAAGATTAAAGCCTAATTACGAAGATCGTCTAGAGGATTGTAAATTATAGAGTATACATGAAAATTTACGACTCCCCAGGTCGTTTATTCACGACAGGGGCGTGATTTAGTGACTAACTTTGGATACTGACGCTCCCTTGTGCAAGTTCCAAGATTAAATTATAGACAAACAAAGGGGTAAAAAACATTATAATATTAACAAAATTTTATTAAATCTAAAATAAAAGAGATTTTCTACACAGCTCATCACGAAATTGATCTTCGTGATGAGCACATGGTGGTATAAGTGAAATAATTTTGGTTATAAAATGGAATTTAGATAAGCTAACAGAAATTCCTATACCAAGGGCGTTCTACGAGTACCACTAGGTAAACAAAAGTCGGATCCATTTTGTTACCCTTATGTCTATTTACCATTTACTTTAGTTACTACAACGAATTTTTTTTTAACGTACGGAGGTTTAAACTATACGAAAGATTTATCGTAGTATGGTAAAAAGTGGTTCTTCCCCAGAGCACATTGAATCAAAGAACCGATATACTCCTTTTTATTATAAATATAATTTGGTTTATCTTAGTGGTGTATTTAATTTAATTAAAGCCACTAGATACGTGAAAATTTGTGTACACACAAATATGGCTAAAACATAAAAAGAAAGCTTATCAAAAATACATAAACATTTAAAAGTAAAGTTTAACTTGTTTAGTTTTGAAAATAATTGGTTAACTTAGTTTTAGAGCATGCCAATATGTAATCGAATCAATGAAATTAGAATAACAAGAGTTAAGTATATTAAGTATAGGACATCGTCATTTTGATTCATCGTTTTTTTCGGTAGATGTTAATAGTATTCGTAAGTAATAGATATATAGCATCATAAACGAAAGTTATATATTAAATGTGTATGTTTGTATGTACGTGTGTATGTTTTACACTTTTATCAATTTTCCGTGACCTGCGGTCGGGCGCATTTGTTACTTATCTCGGGGATTCCTCTGCATCTTTGGTCGTCGATTCAAGTTAACTGGATGTTGCAAATAAATAACTCTTAATAATTGTAACTTTAAAATACAATAGTGAAAACAGAGGTTAATTGCGATTTTATCACTTTTACTTTTGTTTTATTTAAAAATTGATAAGAACCTTGTGATTGTTCGAGTTAATGTAACAAAGTAATAAATAACCTAATAAGAATATTCTTTCTTTTTTATATAAGAAGGTGTCAAACTGGTTGGTGGTTCACCTGATGTTAAGTGATAACTGCCGCTTATTGCCATTTGCAACACCCGTAGGGTTACAGATGCGTTGCCACCTTTTTATAAAGTGGGCTCCGGCTACCACTACACTCACTAGACGAAACGCAGAAGAATAACACTTCCACTTCACGCCGGTCTTCTGTGAGTCCGTATTTACACCTGGACATAGAATGAATGAATGAATATTTTTATTTAGTTTCAATAGACAGACATGATTGTAATGACTGACATTACAACAGAAATGACTGTAGCGTAGCCCTATAACAGTAACTGTGTGAGTTTCTTATTCTTTATTTGATTAACAACATGTTATGCGTTATACATTCCCCAGTTTTATAAGTCACTTCCAGCGAAGCAATCTCAATGTAGCGTGTCAACGAAGAGCATCGGGGATTTTTTACTTCCCGCGTTGTGTGTATATATAATGAAAACGCAAGTCTGATATCGCATCAGTCTTTAAGGGCGTTTAAGCAAACCGTGACATATCTGAAAAGTCTAATTCTTCAAAATGTACCATTCTGTAGCGATTGTGCTCGCAATTTTGTCAAGTGTCACCGGTCGGCATTTGTTTCAAGACGAGTTCAGAAGTCCGTACTTGCTGGTAGAAGATGGCCGCAATGTAAGGATCTATAATTTGGAAGGGATTTTGTCCGAAGAACCACATGCGGGGGTCCATCTTAGTCGAGAGCGCCGCCAAGCTCAAGGCAGTCTAAGTACCAATCCAGATGGATCGTCAAACTTCGCAGCAAAGGTACCACTGGCGGGTAACGATAAGAACATCCTCAGTGCCGTTGGTACGGTGAGCGGTGCGTCTGGTAATGGGGGCTTCAAAGCTGCTGGTGGTGGTTTGGCATGGGACCATGTGTGAGTTACATTTAAATAACCTTAAACTGTAATTATAACAAAGATACATCATCGTCATCATTATTTTGCCGTCCAAGATACGATATTGCACAAATGGGCAGGTCTGCCTGGATAAGTATCACGGCCTTACAGAAGACCAGTGTGAAGTGGAATTGTTGGTCTTTTGCATTTCGTCTGGTGAGCACATCATGCATTTTCGTATAAACGTAAATAATTTTATACTTCTATGTCATAAGTTCTTAGACTGAAGCCGAGGCTAATGTCGTGAAGAAGTTTTTTGTGTTCCCACACTTAAGCTACAATCCTGCGTTAGATGTACTAAAATTTAATTTAATAATTTTATGATAAGTCTCGACAAAATCGTGAGTAAATAAAATGTGGGTAATGTTTCATAGTGGGAGCTGTGATAGCTCAGTGTCCTGGCGCTCGGCTTTAATTTAATATAGTCGATCAACCTGAGTTCGATCCCCGGTGCCGGCACTAGTGAAATTGTTAATTTTAAGTGCTGACTTATCACGTGCTCAGCGATGAAGGAAAACATCGTGAGGAAACCTGCATATTTTCGAAATAATAACAAAAGAAGAATATTTCGATGATATGTGAAGTCCGCCAATCCGCAGTGGGGCCGCGCGGTGGACTATGCCCCGATACCTGTACAGACGAGACCTTTGTCCAGCAGTGGGACATGTATAGTCTGATACTTTACTTTTGCAGCAATGGACATGGCGCGACCCTGACCGGCCAGCACATACCAGGCCTCGGAAACCAGATGACCGCTGCGGGCAAATTGAATTTACTGCATAACGACAAGCACGATGTCTCAGCCAACGCTTTCGCAACGAGGACCTTCCCCAGCAACCCGAACATCCCTTCGTTCGATACGTACGGCGGAAAACTGGGATACACATATGAGTACGTAATTATTTTTTTTTAAATACAGCGAGTTTATAAACGGTATTTTTTAAAGAGCATCTGAATTCCGGAATGCAGATGTGACCTAAAGGCCCTTATTGTATTAACATTAATGGCCAAAATATAAATAAATTTTAATCATAAACTAGCGACCGGCCCCGGCTTCGCGCGGGTGCAATGTATTATACATATAAACCTTTCTCTTGAATCACTGTATATAGTAAAAAAGCCGCATCAAGATCCATTGCGTAATTTTAAAGACATACATAGGGACAGACAGACTGTGGGACGGCTTTGTTTTATATTATGTAGTTATGAAATAGAAGGCAAAGTAAAGTTAATTCGTGAATAGAACTTTTCTATTCACGAAAATGTCTTTACTTTGCGCATGACATGTGTCCGGTGATCTGTACTATTATGTGTATCATTTTAGTGGATAATTTGTGTTGTTCAACCCTATTTTAATTTCCTTTTGAAGCAATTAGTTGTTACTTAGTTGTTAGTAGTAAAAGCATAAAATGTAATGATTCGACAACTAGTTTCCGCAGATATTAATGTCACCAGTGCTACAGTTACAGAATTTGAAAGTCGTCTAGTTTGCATTAAATTAATATTATTATGCTTTGTTGTTACTTTCAGCAACAAAGTGGGCGCGTCACTAGGTATGGCGCATACTGATCTGTTCAAGAAGACTGATTATTCGGCAATGGGTAATTTGAACCTGTTCAGAGGCCGTGACTCCTCGCTGGACCTCAACGCGGGCTTCAGCAAGTCAGTGTCGCCGTATATCCCAAGCAGCAGATGGGAGCCTAGCGCTGGCCTCTCTTTTACCAAGTGGTTCTAAGATATTAAATTAAACTATAACGTATTATTAGGCAGTGTGCCTCTGTAGATATTTGGTTAACGATTATAAATAACTATTCGAGTAAAACAATGGTTCCAATAAAGCTGTTGTCATCAAAAATTCTCTTTAATTTCCTGACTATTTTTTATTTTCCTTCAGTATAAAATCAGTATATATTTAAAAAAACCTATCTGCATATGCTCTATACAAAAACATTTAACCCCAAACCTAACGACGTATCTTATCTATACAGGAAGATTTTTTGATAAGTGCCCAAATTTACACAGGAGGTTCAGACTCGGTAGTAAAATCGTTAATTGAATTAAAAAGCAAAGTAATTTTTCCTTAAAATGCCATTCTATTCCATAAAAAACAGAACGTGTTGACAATGCGGTAGTCTTTCATAAATACCTAAATTTTACTGTGCACGAACGTAATTGTACTGTGCCCGTAAAATAAATGACTTGCGTATAAATCACGCACTTTTTGATATGAGTTCAAATGAATGAAATTAATTACTTACAAGTGATTTTTTTTAAACATTTATCATTTTTATATATAACATTATTTATGTCTAGAATTTAATAAAAAAATGGATATACTTCGAAAAGCCACCGTGTATATGAATTTATGAATCAAGCGTTTTTTATTATTTTTTATTTACGTGGGAAAAATCTTTTATGGATCCCCCGCCGCCGAGGGTATGTGGGCGGCGTCCCCGGGAACACGGGGGTACCCACTAAAAACTCACGTTGCACTTGCCCTGTCGCTTTTGCCGGGAACACGAAAACGTTATCTTCCGCGAACCCCAGCGCGGCTGTGGCCTCCTAAGGCCTCCTCTCTCCGGGTGTTTAGACACCCGGTTTAGCCAAATGGAGCCGTATCAATGCAATGGACACGGCACCCCTCTCGATCCCTCAACGGGGCAGAAGTTAATGAATCAAGCTATCTTAACTTCGATTTAACAATTAATCATAGAAAATGAAGTAATTGAAACTTATTCTTCGGAGTGATTGCGCTGAGCAGTTGAGATTTCATTTAACATTCATAATTGCGTGTTACAATTGATGTTCCCAAAAATATCGTGACAGCGAGTAAAAATGTAAGATTCAGATTGGAAAAAGGGCGAATTAATATAACTCAAAGCTTCTCGGGTTAATCCTTTTAAAGAGGCTCCATCTCATACGTTACGGCCAAACGCATGAATTATTCAGTACCATCACTTTGAAACTTTTCAGCAACCGAGTGAACGAACTATTTTATTGATTAACATCGTTTTTTTTTCGATCTAAATATATGGTGGTAGATATTATTAACAGATATTTGTAAACTTGCAAGAAAACCTTTTTTATTGAGGTGTATAATAGTTCAGTCTGTTTGAATCGTGTCTTGATATGATTTTCTATAATGAGCACACTAAAAACCATTGATCAGGTTGTGGTAGGGCTTAGTAGAATTAATTTGTAATCACGGGAACTATATAAAAAAATATTACATTTATCTTATTAAAATTAAAAAAAAAAAAATATTGTTAACAAGTCACGAAATGTGGGTAATACTAATAAAATGTAAAAAATTATTCGGTTCTTTTTTATAATTCTTCATCACAACTAGCTGCTACCCGCGACTACGTCTGCGTAGAATAGGCTAAGGCATAACATTCAGACAGAAAGACAGATAGACAGAAAGACAGATACATGAAAAATGTATATAAATTATAGCCTGTGTCTTATTCTGATGTATAAGCTATATTATTGTAAAGAATCTCGGGTTCAATTTAATGAAAAGTAAGACTACGAGTACATTAAAAAAACACTAGAACAACAAACAAAAAACATTGAATTTGTATCAAATTCTGGGAAGTAGTGTAAAAAATTTTAACACATTTCCAACAAGATACAAATCAATGAAATTACTTATGAATGACAAAAAATATGAATCAGTTCATAAATTTCAAACAAACAAAACAAAATTAATTACGTTTTAGCTTTTAAGAATACCTTGGTCATATTTTCTTAATTTTAATAAAACGGTAACGTTGCAAAAATATTATATTTAACGAACAAAATTTTAATCCGAATGAAAACCCGCAACAATGTTTGGAGAAATTAGCATAATCCTCAGCTCTTTGTCCGATTCCACGCCTAGGGTTGGAGTTTCATCCAGAATATTTTCATTTTGATGGAAAACAGCTTAATATTAATCCTGTGGAGACTTTATTATATAAATATATAATAATTTAATATATTGAAGTTCTTAGTAAATCAACGCTGTAGTTAGCCGATGCTTTGGCGAGATTTTTCGTATACACTTAATTTTGAACTGCGACTCATTCGCTATGCCTCGTGTTCACAGCGTATCAAAAAATTATCAAGAATATAAAATATAATACATCTTACATCCCAAACACTAGTCTTGACAGTACTTTTCTGGTTGTGATATCATTAATATTAGACATAAGGAAGCACAGACCTATATATAGGGAGACTTTTCTAAGTGTATCCATTTTTTTATTAAATTCTAGACATAAATAATGTTATATAAAAATGATAAATATTTAAAACCACTTTATATATCATTTATATGAACTTATCACAAAAAGTGCGTGATTTATGGGCAATTATCACTCATTTATTTTACATATATTTAACATGCACACAAGTTCGTTTCAAAAGTATACGACGCATTTATGAATGACTACCGCATTGTCAACAAGTCTGTTTTTCAGGGAATAGAATTGCATTTTTTTTTGGAAAAAAAAAAGTTTGTTTTTATTTCAATACACGAATTATACTACCGAGTTTGAACCTCCTATGTGAATTTGGGCACCTTTAGAAAAGCCACCCTGTATAGTGTCTCCGGCCACGACTAGAATCGACCCTATCTTGACCACACTTACTTGGACCTGAACTCACTTAACATATCTCAATATCTTATGTTTGTGCTATATATGCACTTTGTTTAATTAGATTGTAATTTTTCACAAAGCTTACTTAGCGACTAATCTAACGATTAACTAGTGACTAATTAGTAGCGAGTAACTTAGTGACTAAGCTAATTAGTCAAACTAACTTAAGAAGTGTTTATTAGTTTTGAGTCTATTTTTATTGCTTTTTTTTGTATTTTTTGACAATCAATAAGTTAGTTCTATATTCTATATTGAATAAGGATATTTGAATTTGAATATACGCTATGGCGTAATATCGTGTTACTTCACGTGACGGTGCATTAAGTAATTACTGGAGTACTCAGACGTCTGCTAATGGCGCTTTTAGGGACGTCCTTTGATGTTCGCCGAACTAATGTGCGGATATTTCATGTGAAGAAAATATTGTAGCACCAAACATAGTTAAAATAATGTAAAAGAATCATGTAAATGATGTAAATTATATATTGATTGATTACTCAACATCGACACCTCTGGGACCATAGTAATATACTAGTATTTATTTCATTCGAAATAGATTTATTTATTCTATTGGTTCAGCCGCGCGGCGATTAATCACTTACGAGTTCCGTTGTTTAGACTTTATTACGTTAAAACGATGCCTCGTCTTTTGTTACGGCATTAAATAAATTGATGATAGTATTATTTGTTCTTAATAACATGGTAATAATTGTAGTTATATGTACAATAATTATAATATCATATCAATGTAGAAAGAATGATATATTTGCATATCATAACAAACGAAAATATAAAACTGATTAAAACTAGAGATTACTTAGTTACTATATTCCTTGCATATGGTTATAATTATTGGGGAAGTGTGTTATTAATCCTTTTAACAATACAATTTTAACAAATACAAATATCATTATGTAGCAGGAATAAGGTGTATAGTATTAAATTACAAGTTAAAGGTCCATCTCTCTCTGAACATGGTTAAAAAAATTTAGGGAACATTAGATTCAGGTCTGATATGAAATATCAATCGGATCTTATTACGTTTCTTCGTACTTAAATGGTGCGTTTATAAATTGTAGAGCTATACGTTTATTGATATTAACCCCTACACCATTCTGTGCCATGTGTCTTGTTCGTCTAGGAATAATTGTCCTTACGTCTAATTTCTCAACAAATTAGAATATTTCTTCAGTCCTCTACGGCCACCGAACGAAATGCTTTGGTATAAATATACTTAAATATTTGTTAAAAAGGGACATACTGCAACTGAACGGCTGCAAGTTGCAAGACCCAATGGTTTTATTCAAAATAAGATACTTAACCTTGATTATATTACCTATCTATGCCAGACCTCATGAAAGCTGCTGTTGTTGCAGAAATTCTAACTCACAAAGCATCAAGCGATTCTGCTCAATTCCACCTTGAAAAAAACCTAACATTTGAGAATAAATTTTTGTCAAACATTTGTTATAATTTAGTCCGTGTAAACTAGCGTTTCGGTAGGTTCTAAATCTTATGTATGCTTAGATCTTTAAAACTACGCAACGGATCTTGATGCTGTTTTCTTTACTAGATAGAGTGATTCAAGACAAAGGTTGTATAATAATACATTGCCTGTGCGAAGCCGGGGCGGGTCGCTAGCGTATCTATATAATTATGTTATTTCTCAAAGGTGTTTTTGTCGGTACGCCATAATTTCCATAATTTAAATACTTCTTTAAAGCATAAGTATTCCGCTAGTGACGAAAGTTAAACAGAATAAAAATTTTCATTAAAAAAAACTTTCGTTTAAAAATTTTATGTGTACAATTTAAAATATGTCATCTATAAACAATAAGCTTAAATTAAATTAAAAAAAAAAGAAAGTAAAGTAACAGCCTATACATGTCCCACTGCTGGGCAAAGGCCTCCTCTATGCAGAGGGTGTCAGGGCATAGTCCACCACGCGGCCCCACTGCGGATTGGCGGACTTCACATATCTTCGAAAAAACATTTTTTTTTGTGATTATTTCGAAAATATGCAGGTTTCCTCACGATGTTTTCCTTCACCGCGGAGCACGTGATAAGTCAGCACTTAAAGTAAAAAACT